AGGTGCGCGTCCTCGTTGCGGTTATGTGGCAGTTGGCGGCCTGTTGTCTGTCCTGCTCACACGGGTCCTTACATTTACCTGTTTGGTTGGTTTTGGCATCAGGTGGTGCCATTTGCAGTGATTTTCGTTTGGGCTGGGTGCAGTTTTTGGACTTACCTACTTTCGGACCTCTTGCTCAACTCTTGGGGGTGTTGCAGCTTTTCCCAGCGTTGAGCAACATTCGCAAGGGTTCCCGTCACCTGTTGTCGAGGCCGACACCTTGGTGCTGGAGAACTGTGATGCGCCTTGGACGCACCCGACGCAAGTCGGTGGGTGTTGTGAAGGCAGGGACTCCGGCGGCGGGTCACTTGTTCTTGGATCCTTTGGACCAATTCGTCCTTCTAAAGGCGCCGGGTCCCATGGGTCTTCCATGCGAGGGGAGGCTCCTCTCCAAGACCAGGAGCTCTTTGACTTGGGGCCAGTGCCGTTTGCGTCTGGCTATGAGATGCACCAGGAGGGGGCAGAGAAATGTGAGAATCGTCAATCAATTTTATCAATCCCATGTGCTAGCATGTGCTAGCACCTCTTAGCACCAAGGATGTTAACCCACACAGAACTCAAGAAGCAAGGACTGAGGTCATGTGGCATTTCGGTGGCAATTCGGGGAAGTGTGTGATGAACACTTACGCTTAACAGCGGTTTGGCCTGGAGCGGTAGTGGATCTAAGCTTCAACTTTCGAGTCCATGTTGAATCTTGAATCCAGATATGCTTTGAAGTGAAAGCGCCCTCTTCAGCTTCAAAATGCTTGCTGCTTGCTGGTTGATTTATACTCGTACAAGGGCTCAAAGATTGTACGGGGAGAAACTTGCACAGGCTGGACACTCTGCATGCCCCCATGCTTTTGGGGTGTCGCACATGTGGTGTTCCTTGTTGCCGAAGGAGCCACGGCCGTTCAACCATGAATTTGTGGTTCGGCGGCTATGGGCCGGAGTCATAGCAAGTGAACGGCCAAAGCCTCCAGAGGGCAATTTGAGCAGGTGGCTCCAGGTGGTTCATGGCTGTGGGTCAAAACAAATGGTACCAAAAACCAATGGCTTTTGACCCAGGGCCATATCAACCTTTTCAACGTCCCAGCAGAAGCAAAAGGCAATGAGTTGCTGTCGATGAGATGTCCCGCGTCGTTTCGGGGGCCCCAATCCCGATTCCCGCAATTCCCGTTCGCGCAGGAGCAGCTGGACATCTCGCGACACGACGGGAGCCGGGGTTCTCAGGGAATGAGGCCCCAAACACCAAGGACCCCTTGGCTCAGAACTCAACTTAGCTCCAAGAATTCCCAGCAAAGAAAAGTCGAGTGTCATCCAAGGACCGACTTTGTGCTTTGTCCAGACTTCCGGCTCTCAAACGCCATGCCCGCAAGGTCGTACCTACATGCTGAATGTCGGAGTCGGGACCTTGGCGACATCTTGGTGCCAAGCCCCGGCGGCCGAAAGACTGACATGGCCATGGGTCAAAATCCAAATCGGTTGGCCCCCCGGTGAACATCCAACAATCCAACCACTAAAATAACGCCCAAAATGGGCGGTGACTTCACCTACCATTGTCCAAAATGGGATCCCAAAACGGTTTTGACAACCACAGCCACATGTCGCTGCGTTTGCAGCGGCACAGGTCATGACTTTGCAGCCAGACCCGAACTTCCTGCGCTACATGCGAGCAGTGGCGGCAGGACAGCTTAGCTTGTGGCGCCGATGGTAGATTGGTCGCTATGCCAATCTTGAAGTCCTCATGGCTGAAAAAAAGGTTACCCCGGTTACCCCCCGCCCGACTTTTGTACCGCAGCAAGACTCTGGTTTTTTGTGTCCTCCAGTTTGACCGCCAGTGAAGCCGAGTTTGCTGTGACGTGTTGCTGGTTGAGCCTGCCCAGGCTACGGATGCTTTCCGCGGGCGCCTGGAGCACTATGCGGAGGCGTTTCCTTTTCCCCGGTGGCATCATGGCTCAGCTTTTGTGCGCTACAATGTACATCTTTTGTTGAGGGGGCAAACCATGTGGGGTTGGTTTAGGGGTGTAAGCGCCGATTCTTGTCGGGTCCCCTTTGAGACAAACCCGCGCGCGTGCTTTGAGCTTGGCAAAGCATGCCCGAGATTGGTCTGTAGAGGACTTGATGTGAATTCAGAATGTCAGATGAGCTGGATGGCACGAGTCGGCATTCAGCTCAGCTTGAGGGTATGTAGCCCTTGGGTTTGGTAAGCGAGTCGACCTCCCAAGATCCTTTACAGGGAGGGTCGTACTTTAGATCTGAACCTTTCTTGTATTGGAGCGCATTTTTTCCGACCCCGGAAAAGATGGACAAGATGAACCTCCCTTTAGCCTGGTTCCCCCCAAAGTGATCCGGTTTCCCTCCAAACCTGGGTTGCGACCTTCAAAAAGACCAGGGGCTTTGCTGGGGTTCCCATTCGGCCGGCCCACTTCAGGGCACCTTCCCAACCTTCCAGCAATTCCTGGACATCTTTCTCTTGGAG